GCGTGGGTGGCTCTGCTCTTTAGTTGTGCTGCATGCTGTATGATAGCAGATGAGGCCATAATAGCCAAAAACCTGATAGAAATGGTCTGTGGGGAAGGCTGAGCTTTTCAATGCTGCTTCTATCTAGAGCAGACACAAGTGTGGGGCTGGGGGGCACAGGGCTGCAATTCAGGCTCATGGGCACTGTCCCACAGGGAAGCAGAGGAGAGCAGTAAGGTCCGAGCTCCCACCGTGATGAAGACATTTGAGCAGTCTGTGAAGTCTCAAAAGACTGTCAAGTGTATGATAGAGACCAGAGGGGAGAAACCAAAGGAGAAAGTCAAGAACAAGAAGAACAAAGGTTCCAAAAAGGAAGGTGAGTCGAAGGGAAATGTGGTGTGTATGGGAGGGGTGTAAATATTCCAGTGTTGTGAAATGTGGGTCACGTGTGGCCCTGCCTGTGCTTTCCTAATCATTCCACAGCACTTGAGTGTTGTTCAAGGTCTTCTGGTCACAGCCAGCACAGGCTCAAGAGGTAAAAGTCCTGCTTAATGTATTTAATCTGCTATGGTAATGTTACCATATTTCCAGATTGAGGAAGACAGCCCTTCGGTTAGGACAATGACAGGCAAAGGTTGTTCTGTTGTAATGACATGGCTTCTTAGCATGCATTCTTGGTTCTGAGTTGGGGAATGACCAGCGTACAAAATGTCTGGGGAGAGCTGGTTCATAAACTGCTAATCTTATGAAAATGGGATCCCAAAGACAGCTGCCTTTGGGCTGAAATAAGATGCTCATGTGTCCTGAGGCTTCCAAAATCTCAGAGGTGAGGCCGGAGTGGGTCTCTGTCTTCACAGAGGAATTTCTCATGTACAGTCTGTGCAGCGCTGGCTCTTTCTGCTAGTTCTGAAAGGCTGAGCTTGTGCTGGTGCTCTTTCCTTCAGGGAATGAAGCTGTTACAGCCTCCAGTAAAGCAGCCCCAAGTGAAAAGCAGTCCTCGGCCACTGGGGACAAGGAGGAACTGACCAAGGATGAAATACTGCAGAAGAACCGGGAAGAATTCTTCAAGAGACACATGAAAGCAGGGGAGAAGTCCAGGTGGGTTGCAGGGGCACGGTCAGGCTGTGGTGAATCCACGCGTGCTGCAGCCCAGCTCTTGCTGGAGGCTCTTTGCCATCCCTTGGTGATACCTGAGCTTCTCTTTCCTTTATTGCCCCTGAAAATCATCCTGTTAATCATCAGACTGTGCTCAAAGTATAGTATGGTGTTCAAAATTCAGACCTCATATGTGGGGTCCAGATTTCTTTTATGGGGGGGAGTTTTTCCCACTGTAAATAAAGGGTGAGCTGATGGCTGGCTTGGGTTAAAACAGACCATACTGAGCTTGAGACAAGACTAAAGTTCAGATAGATAAACTCTGTGGAGATTTGGCATTGGTCAGTTTTAGCCTGGATTTCTGCCTTTTTTGATAGCTGGACTTTGAATTTTTGAAGCCTCTAAGAAGGCGTTTGCTCATACTTCACTCAACCGAACAAAACGTTTGTGGTCTTTATTTCAGCAAGTCTCCAAAGCCTGATGCTCAGAAGGAGAAGGGGAAGAAACCCCGAGTATGGGATCTGGGGAACTCTAACGCCAAAGTACTTGATTACAGTAACTCCACTACCAACGGGAACTCAGAGGCCTCTCCCATGGAGGAATTTGATCCTGATATGGTAAGGAGAAGTCAGGTCATGGTTTCTGCTTTGGTGCATTCTTCTGGAGTCAGCGGGGCATCACGAACACAGGCAGGTCACCAAGGCTGGCTGAGAAGGTGCTAGAAGAGGGGATCAGGGTGCCCAGCCTACTGCCTGTAAGGTTACTACCTAGAGAATGTCTTCTCCTGCTGTGACAGCTGCAAACAGCACCAGATTTGCATGCACGTTGGATCAAACAATGAGCGCTTCTGGCAAAGATCTGTAGAGCTGCCTCTGCTGACTGTAACTGATGCTGTTCCTGGTGGCAGTGAAAGCAAGCCAGGAAAATGAAATTAAGCAGTTGCCACTTCTCAGTGTGCTGCTTTCATCTTGCAGGCCCTTAGGGATCGAAACCGTGAGCCTGGCCGCCTCTACGACCTTGAATATGAGAGTGATGAAGAAGCTGAGGAGGAGAAGATTATGCAGAACACTTCAAAACCCAGGTAGAGGCTCCTGAAGCCCTGATTGCTACACCCTTCATGATTTCCCTCCCATAATTCATTTTCCAGTGTTAATCAGTATTGTAGCAGATGTAAACAGGTCTGTTTGTCAGCTGTGACAGGCTCTTGTGTCTCCCTGCTGCTGGCTGTTGCATGCACTATGCAGTTCACACTTAAGGTAACTGTTCTGCTTCTTTGCAGCACAAAGAAAGGTGGCCTTGGAGGTATGTTTGGCATGCTGAAAGGACTGGTGGGCTCCAAGAGCTTGACAAGACAGGACATGGACCCAGTCCTGGAGAAGATGAAAGATCACTTAATTGGTATGTATGGGTCTGCTGTGTGTGGCTTTGTTTGAATGGTGTAATCCGGAGGGGATTCTTCAGTTCCACTCGTCCCCCAGTGCACTGAACTCCCAGGGCCTGGTGTGATACTGGAGTCCAGCATGTGCCACCCGTTCTGCTTTGATAACCCTGCTCTCTTCTCTCTCTCTGCCTCTCTCTCTCTCCCAAAGCAAAAAATGTGGCAGCTGAAATTGCAGTCCAGCTCTGTGAATCAGTGGCGAAGAAACTGGAAGGGAAAGTGATGGGAACATTCACCAGTAAGTGGTTGTGCCCTGCTTGTGTTCTTATTGGTGTGTGCAGCTTGCTGGACTGAGTCCCCTGCTTCTCTGACCTGGTGAAACTATGATACCAAATGTCTTCCTGGCCTCCTCGCGTTCGTAATTTGTGGCTCAGGGCTTCTCTGCAGGGCTTTCCAGGTGTGACAAGTTCTCCTTCTATCTCCTTTTTCCCAGCTGTGACCTCAACAGTGAAGCAGGCCCTGCAGGAGGCCTTAGTGCAGATCCTGCAGCCGCAGCGCCGTGTGGACGTCCTCCGGGACGTCATGGATGCGCAGCGACACCGCCGGCCCTACGTGGTCACTTTCTGCGGTGTCAACGGTGTTGGGAAGTCCACCAACCTGGCCAAGGTAGGGCACGGTGCTGGCGGCTCCTGGGACAGGACTGAGCTCAGGCTGTGGCCACTAACGAGGCTTTTCCATTGCTGGCCACAGATCTCATTCTGGCTCATTGAGAATGGTTTCAGTGTGCTCATTGCTGCCTGTGACACGTTCCGTGCGGGGGCAGTGGAGCAGCTCCGCACTCACACCCGGCGCCTCAACGCCCTGCACCCCCCGGAGAGCCATGGCGGGCGGACCATGGTGCAGCTCTACGAGAAGGGCTATGGGAAGGACGCTGCGGGGATCGCCATGGAGGCCATCTCCTATGGTAGGAAGGAGTGGTGGCAGGAGGGGGCTAGGAAGGGGGCAGGAAGTCCTGGGACTTCGTCCTACTTCTGCCTTCTCCACATCTCCCCAGCTCGTAACCAGGGCTTCGACGTGGTGCTGGTGGACACGGCGGGCCGCATGCAGGACAATGCTCCCTTGATGACAGCTCTGGCAAAACTCATTGCCGTCAATGCTCCTGACTTGGTCCTTTTCGTTGGAGAAGCTCTGGTGGGAAATGAGGCTGTGGATCAGCTGGTGAGTGTGCAGAGTTGCTTTCTGGGAAGGGCAGATAAGAGCAGATCTGTGCAGGTTTTACAGGAGATGTTTCAGACAGGGTCAGCCTCACAACTTCATTTCTTGAGGATGTTCTCTTCCTCAGGTCAAGTTCAACAAGGCCCTGGCTGACCACTCCATGGCCCAGACACCCCGGCTCATTGATGGAATTGTGCTCACCAAGTTTGATACCATCGATGACAAGGTAAGGGGAGCGTTTTGTGCTCTGGGGGTTATCTCCAACCTTAACCTGTCCAACCCTCCTGTTGGTGACAGGAGGGAAGAGGTGCAGTCAACAAACAAGGGCTGTTTTCAGTGGGCCACTTATGACCTCTCCTAGAGGCTGTCCTTTGTGTTAAAATGCACTCCAATCATCTAGACAAAATGAAGTGGACTGATTTCTGTCCCTGTGGAAAAATGGCTGTGAGGCGTCCCAGTTCTTTGGCAGTATTGCATTGGGGGATGTGGAATTGGGACCGTACAGATCTGGAAAACGTAAGAAGGCTGAATGTTTGTGCTCCCCTGAGGAAGTAATACTGGGGCAGCTGCAGCAAGCACATCCCAGGGGAAGTGCAGCTGAATCAGGCACTCAGAGCCTGCATTAAATGCCATGCAGAATAACGTGGCTTTAAATCAGGGTGAGCCTGCTTATACAGTGTAGGGAATGAAATCTGGAGAAGGTGAAATCCTGGTGGGAGATGACTTGTGGCTGCATATGGCACCGACACCCAGTTATGCCAGCTGTAATGCTCCACGTATTTCTGCAAGTAACTGTTCTCCAAAACTCAGAGCTTCAGGCTCAGAAATTTGGATCCTTGTTGTTGCATTCTTGGGTTCTTTTTTTGCTTCCCTCTGAAGCAGTGAACTGGAAGTGTTTTTGTGGAGCAACAGGCTGTACAATGGGAGGTTTTGGGGAGGACAGCCTCAGCTGGCCTTGCTAATGGTGCTCATCCCTTCGGCAGGTTGGCGCTGCCATCTCCATGACCTACATCACAAGCAAGCCCATTGTTTTTGTTGGTACTGGACAAACCTACTGTGATCTGCGTAGCCTTAACGCCAAGGCTGTGGTCGCAGCGCTCATGAAGGCCTAAAATCAAGTATTGCACCAAATTGCTGTTTGCAGATGTCTCAGAAGAACATGCTTCACCCTGTGACTGACTAGTCTTTCCAGTGTAGTGCAAAACAGAATGAAGGGATGCGGGTGCAAGGGCTGTGCTTCCCCTGCCCATCTGATCTGAGTGCTCGCTGGTGTGCTCTTCCAGCACTGCATGAGTATAAAGTAGGAAGGAAGGTGTTACCTGATCACCTTGTGCTTATTCCAGTTAGGTCCATGCTCTCCTGCCATATTTATTGATTACAGAGTATTTGTAAATGAAAGCTCTCTTCTCTACTTGGAGCATTCTTCCCTGATCAGTTATGGGGCTTTGCTCAGTACAGCCCTTCCCCTGGATTCCTTCGTTCTGTTCCAGTAATTCAGCCTCCCTCATACAGAGGCTGAAACCAGAGCTTTGTATTGTTCATGCTATCCAAGTGGCAATGCAAGGACCTGCTGTGCATTGGGGCTGTGCTGTCATTAGCAGCAGCTGTGCACTGTTGGGCAGTGCTGCAAGTGGGTACTGAGCCCCATGCTGCTCTTTTGTGCTCTTGCAGACCGTACAACAGGGACAGCTGCTGCTTAGTGACAGCATTAGACCATCTGACCGTTCATAGTGCTGCTAACTTTGGCTGTAGCAGCTCACCAAAGTTGATAAACCAAAAATTGTAACAGCCTGCCCCTGTCCTGGGCAAGCAGGGGCTCCTGGGGAGATGCTAAACTGCCTTATGGCCCCCATTTCTTTTGTCACTGGGGTCTTGCTGCAGGGTACCCAGAGAACTGCAGCAGTGTGGTCTGCTAATGCTGGTTGTTCCATCGGCCAGCGATGGAGGGCGGTGTGCCCCTGGGGATCTTCTGCCTGCTGGCCTCAGCGTTGTTTGCTGCCTCAACTATGTAACAAAAGAAAAAAAATACTGGAAGACAGTGGTGGCTGCTTGCTGCTTCCCTGCACCCTTTCTCCCCCCCTTTAGAGTGCCTCTCGATCCTGGTCTAAAGTGCTACATTGAATAATACAAAACTCTCTTACGATGTCTTGTAGCTCCGTATTGCAGATGTGCTCTAGTGCAATAAATTGAATGCTGTCTGCTAAGAGACATAATTTATATAAATAAACTTCATAATTTGTTTTCTGTGTACAACTGGCCTGCCTTCAGCCACGACCCTTTTCCTCCTCATGGGGGAGACAGACCGGCGTCTCTGCCTTCAGGCTGCGATGTGTGCACACAAACCAAACAGCAGCCAAAAGGGTAATGGAACTGAACAGACCTTTAATTGGAGCTTCAACATACAAAATACTGTACAGTACAAAGGAAGGACTATAAAACTAGAGCTTCAAGTAAAAAAACAAAAACAAAAACTGCTCAAGTTTCATTCTGAAGTGAAAGTACAGAATACAAAGGCATTAAGTATGAAATTACAGGAGGCAGCAGCTGAGGTGGAGAGATCACAGTCCCCAGCAAACACACCCTTGGTAAAAAGGAGAGTCTACATTGTCAGGCATCTGTGTGAGGACGGGCCCAGCTCTCTGGCTCGTGCCTGCCTGGCTCGGCAGGGCTCAGCACGGTGGGCAGGCAGCAGCTCTGAGCAGGGTGCTGCTCCTCCCCTCGCATGGTGCTGCAGGTTGCCTGCGGTGTGGGGAGCATCCATAGCATCACTCCTGGGTTGAGGCTCACGTGCTGCATCCTGGAGGAAGGAAAGGCTCTGTAAAACCTGCGCTGCTCCTGCAGCACCTCCAGCCTGGCAAGGTGGTTGGAAAGAGGGACGCTGGGTGCCACAGGGCAGGTGGAGCCTCTGCTCTGAAGGCTCTGAACTGGGGCTGGCTGTGGAGTGATGCTGCGCAACACAAGTTAGCAGTGGCCTCAGCACTGCACCCCACCCCTGCTCTGCTGCACAAGGAACCTCTGAGTGCAGAACCTCTGAGTGCACTTGGGGGAACTTTACCTGTTATCTCAGTGTGGGCTGCAGCGGAGCCATTCAGCTGTTGTCCCTCGTTGGGCACACCTAAAACAGAGCAGAGCGTAAGAATGGGCTGGGAAGGCAGGAGGGCGCCGACAGCATTCAGCCTGCACTCCTCCAGGAATGGGATGGCACTTCAGGAGCAATTGGTGCCAGGAATCTGGGTGTATGACTTCAGCACTGAGGGATTCCACGGGATGCCCTCCTGGCTGGGTTTTACCTTCAGGACACACACCAGCAAGGCTCTGGCTAGCAAGCTTGTTTCTGATTTTTACGATTTATTAGTGTGAAATCTCATTTGTTAAAGAATTGGCTCAGTCTGAGTAGTGTGCAGGGCACTGAGACCAAACAATGAGCCTGGCATGCACTTTCCTTTCATTAGAAAGAGAATAAATGATGCCAGCTGCATGTAAAAAGTTAGGTATGAAGGCGTCAGAAGCAGTAGAGCTGTTTTAACTACATGAACATGCAGCGATTGTGTGAAAATAAGCCCCAAATCCAACTACAAATGCAGAAAATTTGGGGGGGGTAAATACAAGACAGAGAAAAGGAGGCAGTAACGCTGTGCTGTGCTCCAAGGATCAGCTGTAAGGTGCACACAGCCCATACCTGCTCGGCCCCGCGTGGCGATCTCACTCGCCAGCCTCCCAAAGTACTCGGGCAGGTCTGTGTATTCATCTCCATAGGAAATCACTTTAATCCCCTTGTCCAACATGTTCTCACGGAGCTTCTTGAACTCGTCCACATCTCCTCTCCGCACGAGCATGAAGTGCTCCAGGTCTGATTTGTGCTTCTCAGCTTCTAGAAACAGGGCCTGAAATGTGGTGTCATCGACAGTCCAACCACAGCCCAAGAACAGGAACGACTTGTTTTCATACAGCTTCTGAATCTCTCGCTTAAAGAGGAAAAAGGAAAGAGCAGAGTGTATTTTCAGAAGGAATTTGGCTCTAATTTATGGGACTCTTCATACAGCCCTGCAGCACAGCCTCACCATGACCTCGGTGTTGCGCAGCACGTTCTGGTAGCCGGCCGGGTGCAGCACGATGCCACTGGGGTTGGTGTAAACACCATGGATGTGCAGGACGCTGAGCTGCCTCTTCTCCTGGGCCCACTCCAGCACCTGCAGAACAAACGGCCAGGAGTGTGAGTGAGTGCTTCCAGCAGAGCTGCTGCGGGCACAGTCCTCGCTAAGGTCTTCTGCAGCTCCTGCCCTAAGACTTGTCTCCCACCTCTTCAGGTGCTGAACTGTGTGCTGCTAAAGTGGCAGTTGGAGAAGCTTCTCAGAAGCAGCTTCTTCCTCACGTTCATCTCGTTTCCTCAAGAGGTTATGAGTTCAACAGCCGCTACATCAGCAGCCTATGGCACCTCTTGGTTCAACACTACAGAGGAATGGCTAACGTCATGAAAGAGTCTATAATCAATTCACCAGGCTCAGCAGAAAAGGGGGAAAAATGGAATGTAATGTCAGCAATTTCTTCGAGTTTCTCCCAAGTTCATTTTTTGCTCCCCCAGGCCCTGAGAAAGCTCAGCTGCTGACCTTCATTTCAGAAAGCCACTTTGGGGCTTGCAGTTTACTCCTACAGACCACAGATCATTTAAGCTGGCAATAATTAGAACGCTTATTTGTATTGCTCTAAGTACCTCCAGCCATGGAGATTAAGAGGTCACAGAGGAAACAAAGCACAGAAACAAGTCAGGATGGAAGGAAACATTACTTCACAGCACCCACAAACAGAGCAAAGCGCACGGTGTAGAGGAGGGCAGTGCTGCAGGGCACGGGCTGTGCTGTTTGCCACTCATTTTCTGCCTGGCTGAAGCCCCAGGCAGGCAGGGAAGCGTCTGAGGCCAACAGCTACCAATGCAGCACAGCAGCACGAGGTGCTGTCCCACACAGAGCTGCTCGGCCCTTCTGGAGGCAGGGCAGAGGGTAGGGAGGAAGGACGAAGGCGACCAGGAGTTGCAGCGTGCTGCCTGGCAGGCCAGAGCCCCCTCACAAAAAGCACTCCCACAAAAAGCACATTACAGCAGACAGGCCAGCTCTGCTTTTTGCCTGGAGTTGCCTGTTTCAGTGAGAACTGTCAATCCAAGCCTCACGTGGAAGCAGGGCTCACTGTATTTCAGCAGGTCCCAGCCACAGGTTTCAGGGACAGAGACCAGAGGAACACCAGGCCCAAAGGCTGCTCCTGAGCACTGATATCAGCCAGTAAGAACTGCACTTTAGAAACTAGCCTGCGTCTTCATTCCTCACTGCCCCAAGTTGTCAGAGCCTCTGTCTGGCGTTCATCTAACACGATGTAAGTTACTGTTAGCTGCACAACCCCTGACATGGGCATAACAGCACATCCTGCAGCTGCCAGCACCCCATGCTGTCCCAGCTCAGCCCTTTGAATCAACATCCTTTACCTTCTTCTCATCCGTCAGGTCAAGGGACTCCAGATGCTTCCCCTGGTGTGCTGCGTACAGTTCCAGCAGGTTATCGAAGTTTGTGGTTAACACCAGTGCCCCGTTTTCCATCAGGTGAAGCACTGACTGAAGCAGCTGTTTCCCAGAATCTTCCATTTTAGATTCCAGGTCATCAAACACCTCATATAAACAGTCTTTGAAAAACGTTGAGCGAACGTTGCTTGTGCGCTGAGAAGCAGAGAGAGATTAAGATCAGAGCCTGGTTTCTTTTCATACTTCATGCCAAATGAATACACAAGAACTATCCACGCATTTCTTGAAGAGCTCTGCAAAGCTATAGGTCCTCGCAAGGTAAACGCTGCACTTTTATCAGATTTATTTTCAGGTCGAAGAGCAAGAACAAGGGAACACCTGAGAAGAGACATTCATCAGGCATTGCTCCATCCAGACTTATTGACTCAGCTCAGCTCTGGAGCTCAGAGATAAAGGAGTGTCACTCTCCAAAGTGGGCTGATTTCCTCTTGCCCTTCATGTGCTCCACCGAGGTGGGAGCACTCCCTGGCAGCTCAACATGGGATGCCAGCAGTTCGTAGTCAGACCTGAGAGCGAGAATCACGCAGCCGCTGGGGGCACCCGGCTGTCCGAGGGACACAGACAGCTCTGGGAGCTCCTGGCCCAAACCCTCCATCAGGAACCCAGCCCAGTAACGGCACGTGCTCGATTCCCTGTAAATGCAGACCTGCTGCACCTCCAAAACCAACTGCTCTCCTGGGGCAGCATTCGGGACTCAGACACAGAGCTGCGGGCACTCACCGGAGAGAGCTTCTGGATAAGGTCATGGGCAACGTGAACCAAGTTCTTGTACTCATGGAGACACTTCTGAAACCTTTTGCTTTCTTCATCTTCCAGAAGATCAAAGTCAATAGCGGCATCCAGGAGGGCCTGGATCAAACCCTTCCAAGACTTCAGAGCTGGGACCTGGGGAGCAACCGCAGCGCTGATTCCTGTTCCGATCACCAGAACAAGTTCCCGAGGCTTCTTGGTTTTTAGGCTTGGCAACAGCTTCCTGCAAGAGGAGAAAGCAGCACAGCTGGCACCACCACACATGGAAGGATGTCCCGAGTCATGGAACGTGCAAATCAAGGACAACTGAGGCACTCTCTGCCTGAGTTTTTCATCAAAACGTCCATTAGGGCTCTTTGGTGAGCAGAAGAGGGACACAGTTCAGTATCCTTCAGAAACAGGCACAGCCCCACTGACTGGCATCACAAATTTCAGCACATGCAACTGCAATTCAGAGAACTGCCAGATAACCTACTCATAAGTACAGGGAGCCTCCAGAGTGCAATTATTTAGCCTTTCATGCAGCAAAGTCGAGCTTATTTGAGGAACTGCCTGTCCTACCAGGATGTGCCATCCCAGAGTGCAGGAGCACAGCCACCAGGGCAGCACCTGAGTGAGGGCTGACACCAAACCAGGGAGACAGAGCAGCAAAATGAAGCTTTCTGTGCAAGATGCTTTGGGGTTAAGGAAACCAGCAGCAAAGAATTCTCCAGCACATGCTCAGCATTAAGGCCTTTGTTTTGTGCACCACAGGAAAACATCACTTAGAGAGCACAGCTAGAGACAGAATGCCTTTCCTGGATCAGCAACAGAAAGGACTGCTAAAGCTTTGTGCCAAACATCAATCTGATTAAAGGACGGTGCAAGGTTACGGGAAAAGCTCTTATTAGAAGAAATGCACTGGAGTGCAATTAAAGTTACCTGGGCTTTTTTGCAGGGGGCATTCCATCTTCCAACAATGTTTCTTTGCCCAGGCTCACCGTAGAAGCCATCCAGTTTCTACAGTAGACAAATGACCACAAGCAGAGTCACCACATGCGTGCATCACAGCGTGGCACAGACCGCAGGTTTGTGCAGGCGGATAATGCTCAGTTTCGTTATCTTTACATCACCTCTGAGCCACGAATCGGGCCTCCTTGCTTCTGCACTTTGTACCCTGGCTCTCATCCACCTCCTTAACTTCTAGCAACAAAGCATGATCAGATTGGCTGCTTTGTCCCGCCGGGGCTCTCTGGGAGCCTGAGGATAAGGCACCTTCACAGCACATCGCTCTCACTGCTTCAGAAACAGCAGGAGGGAAGAAGCACAAACAGATTTTTGTTGGCTATCAAAAAAAGAGAGCATTCCATTCCGTGGTGCCAAAGGAAGGATCATCCAAACCGGCCACACATCTGGGCTGGGTGGGATCTGACTGCCGAGCTGACAGAAAGGAAGGAAGCCAAGTGCTGAGAACTCTCAAAAGCAAATTACGTAAAACACAGACAGTCTGCCAGGAAATGCTCCTCTCCCACACGTTTCTCCAAAACAAGTCTGTCAAAAGGGAAAGAAAACAGAAAGATCTACACACCCTTATCTCTTTTTCTTGCCATTTGTAATGAAGAGTCCAACAAAAATTCTGGTTTGGGTTAATGCAAAGGCAGGCTTCTGCCAAACAGAAATGTTGTACGAGAGCAGCTGGCCTGAAATCACAGCTTTTTATAGGGGCTGTGACCTTCGTTGCCACGCAGCCTTGGTGAGATTACAGAACATTTGGGGTTGGAAGGAACCCCAGAGTCTGTGCACAGAGTCAGTTCCACTTCCCAGCTGTGTGCTGGCTGCCCACAGCCCAGCACCCACCCCCAGCCTCGGGCACCTCCAGGATGGGGCAGCACAGCACCTCACCGCCCCAGGGGGGGATTTCCTCCTCACTTCTGACCTCAACCTCTCCTCTTTTAGTTTAAACCATTCCCCTTGTCCTGTCACTGTTGCCTGCGTAAAAAGCTGGCCTCTCAAAGAGAACAAATGAGCCTGCAGATGCTCCACCAACTCCAGGAGCAGCACTGCAGCGTAATGCATGCGAAAGCTCTACAGGAAGGAAACCCCAGCTGAGCTGTAAGTGTTAGCAGGAATAATTTAAGAGGTTGTCCCAATCATCTAGATAACCTTTTCATGCTGGATAATGAAAACAGGACATGCTGGCTCTCCCAAGGGCAGTGCTGTGGCACAGCATGCTTGCCAGGCTCCATTTCTTTCCCCTTCTGACAGCCTGCACTGCAATGAAACACTTGGAGAGGTGTGCAGGGACCCCACCTGTCACCTTCTGAAAGCCCTTGGCACACGCTGCCCACCCACCTCACATAACAGACTTTTATTTTCCTTGTGTCACCTGATGACAGACCAGCCTGACACCACTTACTCCCCTCACACGTATCTGCATATTTTGAACAGCATAAATGGAGAACTCAGTTCAATTTCTACATGATCCTAAAGTATTAAGGACGTTCCAAAAGTCATTCTGACTCAGGAAAAAATGTTCTTTGTAGCCACCAAGACAGTTCTCTAACATTACAAACTTCAGCCTTCATCTCCACTTACTGCAGATAACCAAGAAGAAACAAAAACAAACCACAAATAATGCCTCGTCTCCTCCTGTCTCCAGAAAAGTGCTTTTTGTTCTGAGCTCCAATAACAGCAAAGCTCTTTACAGTTTACTTCTCTGAGGAGCAAGACTTGGAAGCCTCCAGACTTTGAGCCCGGGAGGAAGGTCTGCTCTGCAGGGATGGGCCACACGAGCACAAACATTCTGGATGGGTAACCGAGGTCAAATTGCATTATCTCCAAGGATGACACCACTGCCGTGTGGAAAATCCTGCACCGGGGCCTCGGCAGGACCTGACCCTGCTGTGAGTTCCACCAACCAGGCACTCACCAGATAAGCAGCAGTTCTCCAGTTTTTTCCCCTGAACTTCCCAGCTATTCAGACTACGCCGAGTTGCAGACAGCACAGAAATCACCCCGCGGCCCCCTGTCCTCCCGTCACAGCGCAGCGCTGCTCCCGCATCACAGGACAGCGCTGCGTGTTCATTTCCCTCCCAGCCCGCGGGGTGCGGCAGCTCCCGCCGAGCGCAGGAAGGATCTGCTGATTCATGTGCTGCTAAAAGGGGAGCAGGGGGGCAAGAAGAGAAAGCTAAGGAAAAGAGGGACAGCGCAGCGCGCCTCCAGCACCGGAATAAAAGCCCGTAACAAACACTGACCGCACGCTCCGTGCCGCCAGCACGGCTCATCCGCGGGCGGACGGCGGGTGGCCGCACGGCTGCAGCGCAGAGCGGCGCGCCGGCAGATCGCCGAGAGCCGCCCGGCGCCGCCCAAGGATGCGCTGGGACGGCGGGGCGCTGGGGCGGCGCGAAGGGCGCCGGACGGCCGAGCAGCGGAGGCACCCAGACGGGCGTCCCGCAGCCCCAATCACCGCGCCGCGCCGCCACGGCTCCGTCACAGCTGGGGATTCCAGCCGAGCCCCAAGGACGGCACCGGAACCGATGTGGCGCGGAGGGGCGGCCCGGACAGAGGCAGGAGGGCGGGCGGAGCCGCGAACCCGGCCGCTCAGGTCCTCCCGGCCCCCCGCCACATCGCGGCCCCGCTTCGCGCCCCTTCCGCCCCGCCGTCGCCAAGGCAGCGCTCCGCGCTCCCCCCTCCCCGCACGCACCTGGCGCCGCGAGCCCGGCCCCACGTGGTGACGCCCTCCTTGCGGCGCTCTGCGCAGGCGCCGCCCCGCCCCCTGTCGGGCTGTGGGCGGGAGAACGGGAGACGATTGCCCCGCCCCCTCCCATTGGCCCGCCCCCTCCCATTGGCTCCGTCCCGGAAGGGGCGGGAACTTCCACCAGAATTTTGGGGGGAGGGAGCGGGAGAAGAATAAAGCGCACGTGCGAGAATTGGCGCAGATCTCGCGATGCTTCCAGCGTGGGGAATATTAAAAGTCGATCAATAAATAAATGGCGGCTGCGCCGCGCGGTGGGCGGGGCGTCTGTCGGTCCGTCCGAGCGCGGAGGGGCTGCGCCGCTGGGCGCCTGGTTGGTATCGCAGAGCTCAGGCGTTCGCTAAAGGTGTAATAAAGCGGCTGTGGGGGGTTGGCGGAGGGCCGGGAGCGGGGGGAGAGGCGAGCGGGCGGCCCGCGCTGCGCGCTGCCGCGTGGGGCCGGCTGTGCCGGTGGGGCACTGCGGGCACTGCGGTGCGGGGCCTTCCCGGCCCGTGGGCTGGCAGCCGCCCCGATCGCGGCGCTCCCCGTTCAGCAGCGGGGCCGGTTGCGCTGTGGCGGTGCTGAACGCCTGGCAGAGCTGCCTGGAGCCCCGTGCCGGTGAGGGGGGCCGGCCCTGCCGAGCAGCGGGAGCCGGGTGCGGGTTGGAGAACGCACTCTTTTTGTAGGTTGCGAGGCTGAAATCCTGCGACCCTTCGAGCCCTGGTCCGCCTAGAAGGTCTGAGCTGGCAGCTCTGAGGCGGGGCTGATCGCGGTGCTTCGGGGCGCTGGGCTCCTCGCAGCTGCACGCACTGCTGGGGTGAGCGGCAGGGCGGGCGCTGCGCCCACGTGGGGTGGGACGGGCGGCCCCACAGCGGGGATGTGGGGTGATGCTGTCAGCGGGGCGTGAGAGTCCCCTCTGTGCGCCTCCAGCCTGGGCGGTGAGGGAGGGTCTTGTCTGTCCTTTGTAGAAGCGGTGAATGGAACTGTGCATCGCTGCAAGTGATGGGGTGCAGAGCAGGGATTTAAGCAGCTGGGGGTGGTTTCCTGTATTGTCAGTGGGGGGGGGGAATACCCCAAAAGGGCAGATGTGCTCTACCTGCAGTGCTGTGATGCCAAGCCACAGGGCTCCCTCCAGTGCCAGCGCTCTGGGTGATGCTGAACTCTTTAGGTGGGATCTGTGCGTCTGCAGTGTTTGGATAGGGAGGGAAACGTCTTGTTTGATGCCCTCAGCTTGCGCATGTCAGGTAAATGAGAAGCTTGTGGCTTTGCATGGAGCTGAGTGTCCTTGTCCCCCATGCTGTGAGCGAGGCAGGGATGGGAGAAGGGAGAATCTGGGGTCCTTGAGGATGTGCAGCAGTAAGGATGTCAAGGTGCTGTTCTCATTGCGTTGATGGGGTTGGCCCGGCCGTGACGGATGTGGGAGGGCTGGAGGGAGGCCCTAGGGAGGGCTGGTCTCCCAGATGAGGATTGCTGCTGGCTTCCCCACCCTCCACTTCCGTGTCCGAGCTGCTGGTCTGCCTGCTAGTGAGACACCAGCCCCAAGATGGCTCTTCCATGCCATCGGGGCTGGTGAGTGCTCCCTGTGGGGTGGGAGGGGATGGGATTGCTTTGTTGGGGCTGCTCTGGGGCAAGGAGGAAGCTGCAGGAGTGGCTCAGCTGGGCCATTCACACTGGATCCTATTGGGCTCCGGAGTGAATATCTTCTGTCTGCACCTTTCCCACCCAGAAGACCCTCCTGCCTACCTCATGCTGCGCTGCCATCCAGCTCTGATGCAGCCCCTTCTGTGCTCTGACACAAGGATTTCAGGTGGGTACCCCAGTTCCCTGCCCACTGAGTAGCTCTTTAATGTTATGCTTATGCTTTCTTGCTATTACTAAGCAGGGATCGCCTGGGGATCGTGGTTTCCGTGGGCAGGGCACTGTATGCTACTGGGTTCCTGGTGGGTCTGGAGGTTTGGTCAGTGCTCGCTTCACATCCTGCTCCTTTTGTGGGGCAAAGGCTGCGGTGCTTGTTGTGAATGAGGTGATGCAAGTGTGGAAAAGTGTGGGGCAGGAGGAGGTGTTGAAACAAGCAGGAGCATACTTGCTGCTGGTGCACCAGTGTATCCTTGTATGAGTTGCTCCAGTGCCCCAAGTCTCATCGAGGTGCAGATCCCTGTGCACTCACATCTGGACAGGTGGGACCTGGTGCATCCCTACTGTCAGGCAGCTGATCCTCAATGGGCAGAGGTGGCCTGTGGGCCTGCCTGTGTGTTTTTAGGGAGAGATGCACCCCCCAAATATGAGGGAGGAGTAGCACCAAGGGTGTGGGATGTGTACTGTGGGAAACAGTGCTGCTGTGCTGATCCCTGGAAACTGATTTCCTCTCCTCCCATCCTCTCAGGATCTGTTCCCTCCCCTGGACTCTGGTTAGCCCTGCTCCGGGTATGAGGGGCTCTCCTGCTCTGACATCACGTGCTGCAGGTGAGGGTGTTGCCAGAGGCGTCCCAGTTCACAGCCCTTGGGAGCAGAGGAGTTTGGATGTGCGCAACCTCAGCAATCCCAAGGGCTCAGAGGGATGCAGCTGAACAATGTGCTTGGAGTTGGATCTGAAACATTGCTCTGGGGAAAATTTTATGAAGAAGGGTGGCAGGCGGGAGCTGGTGTTTTGAGGAAGGCTTGCTGTGAGAGCTGAAGCCCAGGCAAGTTGCACAGCACGGCAGCGTTGGGCATTGCCAGCACGTTGCTGCCACAAACATGCCTGTTGCAGGTGAGGAGGAAAAAGCTGGGGCTGCCCTGCAGCACAAGGCTCTGGGTGATACAGGGGGCTGCCCCTGCTGCATGCCCCCCAAAGTCCCCTTTCCCACGCAATCCCCCAAGTCATGGTGAAATCCCATGTGTGCCAAGCACAAGGGGAAGTGAATCTGTCTGTCCCTTTTGCTTGTGTGGGTTTACAGGAATTGTTGCCATGGAGTGAGCATTGTGGCCATGGAACAGCCCTGGGGGAGATGGTTTTGGGGCTGAGATCTCTGTAGCTGCCTATGGGGTGCAAATGCACTGAGCATCCTTGGGTGCATTGTTCTTTCTCTCCCCTCTGCATTTCTCCTTGCAGGAGAGGTTTCATGCAGGAGCTTGGAGGCTGAGTGGTGCACTGCCTGTTATGGCTGGTGAGCTGTTTGCTGGGAGAAGGGGGCTGGAGGGCAGGGAAGTGGGGAAGAACCCCAAGGCTTACCATGCAATGTAGGGGCTGTCAGAGGCAGGGTGGTTGAGCGGTCAAGAGATTAAAGGGATGTGAGGCGGGGGCTGCTCAGGAGGATGTGGCTTCTGGGGCCTTGGTGCTGAGCCTCCCTTTTTACCTCACCTCTGCAGGATGGTTTAGGCGGCTCGTGCAGAAGCCCAAGCCGAGCTCCATCCACACATCGAGTGGCTCTCATAGCACTACCAGCCAATCACTGTCGTCCTCACCCTCCTCCTTCTCCTCCTCTTCCTCTGCTTGGAGCTCCAGCTCCTCGAGCAGCACCAGCACAGCTCAGCCTGGCCGCCCAGCCCCAGTGGACATCAGCAGCTCGAGCAGCGCACGCTGGGCGAAGAGCTACGATGTGTGCATCTGCCACAGCGAGATGGACCTGGAGTTTGTGGAGGAGCTGGTGTCCTACCTGGAGAGCCAACCCCAGGGACTGCGCTGTTTCCTGCAGCTGCGGGACAGCGTGGCGGGCAGTGCTGTCATGACAGAGCTGTGTGAGGCTGTGCAGAACAGCCACTGCTGGGTGATGCTCATCACCCCCAGCTTCCTGCAGGACCCCTGGTGCAGGTACCAGATGCACCAGGCGCTAGCAGAGGCCCCCATGGCCAATGGGCGTACCATCCCTGTGCTGAAGGACATTGACAGGAAAGATTACCCCAAGGAGCTGAGGAACCTCTACTACATCTACACGGCTCTCAAGGAGAACAGCTTCAGGCAGATCAGGGACACCGTGCTGCGCTGTGAGTACCCTACAGTTTGTACCATGGGGGGTGGAACATTACCTCTGTCCCCAGACATCCCTCAGTGGGCCGTGGGAAGGGGTTGGATCCTTGTGCTCTGCTTTTGTTATTAGTTTAAATGGTGAATCTGAGATCAGTCAGCCTGCTAACAGGGCCTGTCTGCTGCCTCCACAGATCTGGAAGAGCTGTGCCGGAGCTCCACGAGTGGAATGGAGTAGTGCCCACCGAGGGCACTTCTGTCTGAGCAAAGCTAGAGGCATTTCCATGGGCATTTCAGTGCAATAGGACAAAGTGGTGCCACTGGGGCCAGAGCCGAAGCCCCCTCACGTCACTGTTGGGCTGCCATCACGCCTGCCCAGCTCCGCTGCCCCGAGGGTTCGGGCTCCATGGGGACAAGGCTGGGGGCAGGGCATCACTCGAGCACGTCATGCAAACACTAAATTCCCACCGGGGGAAAGCAGGGAGGGCTCCGCAGCGTCTTCTGAAGATGAGGGCGCTCAGGGTGCCTGGAGCCTCCTGTGCAAGCTGACACCACGAGGAGCCTGCAGCTGGAGCGCGTTTGTGCTGCAGGGACATCGCGTTGCACGTTGTATGAGGAGAAATGCGCGTCTGATTTTTAACTCCTGCCTGCGTGTTGGTTTTTTTTTTCTTTTTTTTGGGGGGGGTCCCAGTAAAGAGCCCGGGTTGTGTGGGGGGGGCTGCCTTCCTCACACCCCACAGCGCGGGCTGCGGCTCCGAGAAAACCATTGGTCGCAGGCAGCCCGGGCGCGTTACGGGCACGCGGCGACGGAGGCTGTAACGCTCGGGGCTGCGCGGCGCTGCGGGAGCGGAGCCCTCCGGCCGCACGGGGGCGCCGTCCCCGCGCCGTTCCCACGCCGTCCCCGCGCGGCCATGGCGGACGGCCCGGCCCCGAAGCGGCGGCGGGAGGAGGAGGAGGCGGCGGCCGAGGCGGCGCCGGGCGGCTCCCCGTTCCCGTTGGGCTCCGTGCGGCTGCGGCGGCTGCTGCGGGACTCGGCGCGCGAGAAGGCGGCCTTCGTGCACGGCCAGGTACCGGGCGGAGCCCCGTCCGGGGCGGGCGCGGGGTGCGGGGTGCGGGCTCCTTCCCCGCTCACGGCTGCGCCGCCGCAGGTGTCCGGGCCGGCGGGGGAGGAGACGGACGCCGTGCTGATCCTGGAGAAAACCCCGTTCCGGGAGGAGGAGATCGAGGAGCTGCTGAGGAGGCACGGCAAGCTGGAGCTGCAGACGCGCAACGACATTTACAGCACGTACCGCCTCCGCCCGCCCCCCGAGCTGAGCGGTGAGTGCCGGCCGGCCGCCTCGCCGCGGGGGGGCGCTCGTGCTGCTGCCTGCCTGCCCGGCCGCTGCGAGCGCCGGCATCAGCGCGCTGCTGGCGCGGGACGCCGTGGCCTTCAGGGCTGCGGGAGCGACCCGCCGCCTCCCGCCCCGCCGCCTCGCCCGGCTTTTGCCCCGCCGGGACCCCCAGTCCCTCTTGCGGAGCTGCTCTCAGTCGGTTTTTCTCTGGCGTTGCCCCAAGCCAAGCGCAGCTCCTTGCTGGCCCGCTTTCTGAGCCTGTCCCGGTGCCTGTGGATGGCTTCCCTCTGCTGAGCCGGCTGCGCCGCTCAGCTTGGCGTCATCTCGCCGAGGTGCTCTTGGTCCCATCCGTGTCATTGATAAAGGAATTGGAGAACTGGTCCCGGGAGAGACCCTGGGTGCAGAACTCAGCAGTGTCTGCCTGGACGTAGAGCCTCTGACCGCCGCCCTCTGGTTACGACAAGCCCCCCAGTTCCTTACCCACCAAAGAGTTCATCCCTCAAATTCTTCACACTTCAGAGTTGCCAGCATCCTCTCAGGGTGTCGTTTTCTGTTCTTGTTTTTCCTCGTTGCCTTATGAGGACGGAGAGCTGAGGTGCTGGCAATGGGATTAAAGGCCGCTAATCTGCAGCCCGTGCTGCAGGTGAGCACCTTGCGTCTGCCCTTCCTGCTGCTCCCCGCTGATTTCACACATCTCTGCTTACAACTTCCTGATTAACAGCTGACTGTGGTGAGGTCAGATCAGCAGGTTGAGGATGTCATGGAGTGGTGCTGCCTTGTGAATTGGATTTTCATTGCTATCAAATTGCTTTCCTTGGCTTCAGCACCCTTCAGCTGCTGATGGAAGGTGGGGCTGCTCTCAGCCGTGCTGATGCTTTGATTTAATGCTGGTGTTGGTTTAAATTCTGGAAGTGTAGTGATTGTGTGTCAGCACTTCCATAAATGCGATGATAACCAGACAGGTTTAATGTAGTCAGAATCAATCAAAGTGATAGCCTGAAGGAAGAAGTTGTTGTGGCCCCAAATGGAATTTTCAGGACATCGCATCTGTCTTCAGCTTCCATTGCGTAGCAGGTAGTACCACGTGGCTGTAGAAGCTTGTGCAAAATGTGTTCTTCTGCGGCAGACTTGAAATGAGGGGTTTCAGCCTCAGGATGTCAGCAGCACCTGCTGTCAGCGCTGGCGGTGAGTCGCAGTGGCTCCCACGAGGTGGCATTGCAGGGCTGGGAGCCGAGCCTGGGAGCTGGCTTGGGCTGCTGCGTGCTGTCCTGGCATAAAGGCTGTGCGCCCTTGTCGTGGTTCTGCTGGCTTCCTTTGGTGGAAGTTTGTTTACTGAATTACCTTTGAAGCTGCCGTTCAGAGGTGTCCACGGGAGCTGCGGTTTGTAAGCAGCGTGTCTCCAGCAGAAGGACAGCAGGGGCATCTTTGCATCCCTCTCTGCTGTTTCTCAAAGCTGTGTCCCTGTGTCACTCCACACACAACAGGGTTGAGTTGGGGACAGTTGGTCTCCCCGATGCCAGCACATTGTTAAAATTTCACGAGAAAAGGCGCAGGCAGGGGAAATGCTGAGTGTGGCTGAGACATCTCCTGGTCCCTCCTGGCAGCTCGAGGGCTGTCTGTTGCTATTAAAGATGTCACATTTCTTCCTATGAAGAGCTGCATTTGCAGATACCTCGCATGAGATGCTCTCCATCGGCAGTGCTGGCACCCTGGAGTGTTTAGCATCAGATGAAGCATGTTTGGGAGGGGAAAGAAATTGCCTTTTTGAGTGAGTCATGGCCCAAGAAGGGAGTTGACTCAAGGAATGAAGCTAATAAACGTTAAAATGATGGATGAGAAGTTCCCTGTGGGGCTGTGTACATTGGGAAAACCATGGACATCAAGTGAGCATGTGGAGACCCAGAAAGACCTGGCATCCAGTTTGGTCTCTTGGTTGTGGTGTTAAGGTTTTCTCTCTTGGCACTGACAGGTTTGCACTTACAGCCTGGGTGATTTTGCAGTAAAGGCCTGACTTTGGCATTAATCTGATCCCCTGGGTCGCTGTCACACTGAAGAGGAATTCACTGCAGGGATTTTGCAGCAGCCAAGCCCCCTCTCTCAATGCCTTCCTTTCCAAGGGTGAAGCTGAACCCCTGCCAGCGAAGCGCCTGGAGCGAGGTGCTCACAGCTGCAGGTGACCTGCAAACATCTGCGCCGTGGCTGAGGCTGGGTCTGCTAATGGCACAGAGCAGCTCTGGGAGGAGCTCTGGCTGGCTCTCATTAGCAGCCTGCAGGTCTGTGCTTTGTGCGGGCGCGTTTCTCAATGTCGCCTTTGTGGTCCGTGGCCCTGGAGGCCCTGCAGACAGCTGGGCTTTCGCGAGAGCTGAAAGCGGATATTTTCTTTCCTCTTTTCCCACCTCCTCGTTTAAGCTACTCAGATGCTGTTTCACCAGGGAGTAAAGCTAATGCAAACTCTGTGCAATGAAAGCTTGTTTTGTCCTGGTGGTAGAAGAGCCTGGGGGCTGGGCGAGCTTTGTTTTGTGGCAAGGCACAGAAGAGGCAGGCGGAGAGGTGCAGGTACCCGCGCAGGGGACGTCCCTCCACCCTGGGAGTCAGAGTTGCACTCTGCAGCTTGAGGACAGGCTTTGTGGGCAGGGATTGTATCAGAGTGGGTCCTGGCTGGAGGACCTCGGCTTGTTCTGCTTGTTGTGGCCGCTGGAACAGGTGTGCAGAGGGAAAAATGGGAAATGCATTTGAAAACCAGCCTAGCGAGAGCGCATCTGAGGGTAACCCAAGCCCACCTGATTGAGGAGAAGATAATTTGCCATTCAGACCCACCTGATTAGGGAGATGACTTGCTGGTGAGTTGGTTGATACGTCCTCTGACCATAACTGGTCTAATACTGGAAGAGGAGAGCCTTTGCAGCTCTGCTGTGGGCCAGGCACTGAATGCTGGGTTGGTGTGTTGGGCGCAGCTCTGTGGAGCACAGCCGTAAACATTGCCCCAGGTTTGCAAAACAGCATAGCACTGACTGATAGGGGAATGAGGGAAAGCCATCTCACATTAAGTTCCTGCCATTCCTAAATACCAGTGAGCTGCCTTTCCTGCCCCTTGCTTCTGCCTACCAGCTCACCTCTGAAGGACTGATGTGCTGGCAGAGGAAATCACAGCCCTGCCACCAGCCCGGGGAGCAGGAGCTGCTTTCATAGCAGGGAAAAGAGTTTCTGGGTGCCAGAGGACTGATTGCAAAAGCTCGATGGTTTAAGCAATGCATTCCCTCCTAGCATCCAGCTCCTGGTGATGCATTTGCTCAGCTGACATCTGTTTAGCAGGCAGCTTGTGTTTTCCAGCGCAGCGCAGCCTGGCTGCTGAGGGATGTTGTGTTTCATGGCACCTAAGCCATGCTCACATAATTCAAGGGCTCTCATCAGTCTGCACTGGAAGGAAGCTTTGTCTGCTGTGCATGATTGGCAGCTACATGTCACAGCTCCATTTGCAAGCACGTCCTCGTGCTGCAGCCTGAAGCTCACCAGCTCAGTCTAAAAATGAGCATTACTGACAGACGCTCCGACGCAGGGTGGAGAGACTGTGGGAGAAATGGAAGAGTATGGAAGGCAGCGGGGAAACTATTCAGTCATGCAGGAAGTGATACATATTCCTGCATTCCTGAGCCCAGCAAGGATCTGGTTTCAGGCAGCGGGAGCTGGAGAGACTTGCATGAGCTGCACCGGAGTCTGCAGTGCTTCCCATGGCTGTGCTGCCACGCTCCGCCCGCCTGGCACAGCGGCGGCTGCTTAAATGCCATAATGAGACTCTGTGATTAAACAGAAGGCTGGAGCCTGAGCAGCGGGAGCAGTTGGGCTGGAGCCAGGTGGGGGTAGGTGCAGGAGAGCCGGCGGTGAGGGGAGGGCTGCTCTGCTGGGCAGTGGGAGCCATTCCCGTGCTGGGCTCCAGCTCTCAGAGCTGGTGACTCAGATTCTCTTTCCCACACTGCCTGCTGCAGCCAGCGCCCACCACGTCCTCTCCATCTCTGGATGAGAAGCAGCGGCCAGACAGCTTGGCAGAGTCCCCAGCAGCACACTTGGCTTGCCCTGGCATGTGCTGGCCTTGGAGAGTGTGAGAGCTCTTGAAAGCTTTCTCCTTTTTGTGTGCTTTTGTCTCATTCTGTAGCGAAAGCCCCAGAAGCCTGTGATGGAGCATGGCAGCACTGCCGGGGTGGGTTACGTGGGGTTCGTCTGGGGATGCTGTACAGTTGTGATCATGAGCAAGGATAAATGGGAAGGGAGGTTGTATGTCAGTGTGCTTGGGTAACTTGGCATTAAAAGGGGAAGCGGAGGATGGTGCAGAAAGCTGTATGCAACATGCAAGATCTTGCAGAGGAAGAACTTAGAAGAGTGCAATCAATTTTCCCTTGGCTTTGTGTGCTCAATCGTAAACCAAAGCACCTGGGCTTCCTATTGGCAAATGGAGGAAAAGTGTTCCCACCCCGGGGCTGTTCTTTCCTGCCTGCTTCTCTCAGCTCCTCAGCACGCTTACATTGATTTAAAACATACAACAGACACGTGGTGATGGCCCTCACGGTACTGCCTCCAAATTCTTGAGTGGGGTGAAGAAGTGAGTGGGGTTTTTTGCAGTCTCAGCAGAGGAGGAGAGGAGCTGTTTGGTTCTCGGCAGTCTGAGCTTCATTTCGTTGTGGACGTGGAACTGAAATCATGGAGCTTTCCCTCAGACACCACCTGCTCCCTTTGTAGGGTGATGCCCAGGGATCCAAGTACCTCTGGCACACGTTTGTCCAGGATCCTTCCATTTAGACCTCTGTTTTTTGTATTTTTTTAGCTGCCTCCAGCTAAAAACCACAGCCGTTTTGGGCTGCCATCCTGGAACAGGCTGGCCAACACGACCCAGATGCAGGCAGTGATAAGTGCCAACCGTTTACCAGCCAGAAAACCACCTGATGTGCACAGTGATGCTCTGCCCCATTTCCAGGCCAGCACGGATTGCACCCGTCATGCACCAGACGTGGTGTTTTAGCACATGTGGACCTGCTGGGAGCAGGGCAGCTTTCAGAATGAGACACGAGCGGTTGGTTGCCAGCAAATGGAAAGATTTAGCAGCGAGTGTGTGCAGTTGTGCTGGTGTCTGCAGTGGGGCTGCTCACCACTGCACCCTGAATGTGAGGGCTTGGGCTTTTATCTCTTGCGTTTCCTCAGTGCTTTTTTTGGTCTTTTTTTAAGCAAGGAGTGGAGGAGCTGCAGCCTCGTCTTTGGGTATTACATCACCCCTCTCAAAGTGCTAATCGAGCCCTGGAAAACAACCTTGTTTGAACATGTGTACAGTGGGAATCGGACCAGACTGCCCTTGTGGTTTGCATTTTCATATTTCATGTTACCAGCATTTTCCTGTGGATTTCATTAAGCTGGGTTTGGCATGGAATGAAAAGACCAGAGTCTCCCAGCTTGTGCAGTGCTGACCTTAAAAAGAACAGAAACCAAAAAAACAAAAAAAGACACCCACCCTAAGTCCTGGCTTTAAGAACAAATAGATATTTATATTCCACGTCTGGCTAGCATATATTCTTCTATGAAGCGTGAGGCGCAGCTGCTTGGTGCTGCTGCTTTCTGTGGCAGCAGCAAAAGCCATTGCAGAGCTTGGGCACAAGCTGGGAAAGCCGCAGGACTTCTGCCCTGTGCTTGGGTCTGACGGCTTCGTCTGGGGTCAGGACGTGGTGTTCTGCATTCGGTTGTTCAGTGTTCCTTCAGCAGGGCAGTTTGGCTCCTGCGGCTGTCGCACATCCACCCTCGGGCAAGGAAGGATATTTCCCAGTGCTCAACTGCTGTGAGCGAGATTTACTGCTGCCAAGGCCAGAGCTGCCAGGTCAGTGAGGTGCATGCTGGAATCCTATTTAATGTCATGGAAAATACACCTCCAAGTTCTAATCTCAAAGTAAACAGGGCTTGTTTTCTTTTAGTGAAAGTAACCAGCTGAATGCTCTCTGCCTGCCAGCTGGTGAAGCGGAGCACTGAATCAGCCCCGCGCTCATCCCCAGCAGCCGCAGCACCTTCCAGACGTGTCCCTCTTCTTGGCCTCCTGTCCTCGGGGCTGAGCATCCTTATGGCTGGGAGCTCTGGGAGGAGTGCTGCCCGCCCACGGATCGTCCATGTGCCCCGTGTCTCCTCTTTTGGGAAGAGAATCTGTGAGTTCAAGGCCACGTGTGCAAGGAGGTTTCGCTCCCGTGTGCTGCGCCTGGTGCAGGGTGTGGACCAGCACTGAGCCTTTCCTGCAGGGCAGGACAGCCTGGATATCGTGGGGCTGCACAGAGCTGCCTCAGGCCCTGTGCTGAAGAGGCTTTCAGAGGAGCTGCATTGTGAATGCAGGGAGCTTTGGGGCTTACAGCTCGAATGGGGTGTGATAGAGGAGGATGGGGTGCGTGGGGCTGGTGGGTGGGGTAAAAATGGAATTGCTTATCATGGCAGGAGTGCCCATTTCTTTTGCTTTTCTTCCTGTATCTCATCTACTGTCTCTTTTGAGGACACCAGCTGTCCCAGTACCATTGCAGCAGCTTAGCTGCTTGAGCTCACGAGGGGTTGGTGAGGTGCCTGTCCTCATTTAAAAGCTTTTTGCTCTGCTCCTGTCCTAATCCTGTTGTTTGGGAGCAGGTAGCCAGGGTGTGCCCTCAGACACAACATGGGTGTGCTCAGCTCTCCAAGCTGTGTCAAGTGGAGTTTTGGCTCCTCAACTGCTCAAAAGTAGGCTACATCATCTTGGAGCTGGAAGGGGAGCTGAGCTGCTTCAGACGGGCTGTTTGCAGTCAGGGAGCGGCTGTGGCTGCCTTCCTCCCTGCTGGAGTTTGGGCAGCTGCTGTGAAGCTGCATGCAAATGGAGGAACAGAACTTCTGGGACTGTGGGCTGAGGGCAGATCCCTCCGGCTGTCACTGATCCGATGCAGCTCAGGCTGCACTCCGAGCATAAGCAGGGTCAGCTCCATCCCCCTGCAGCTTCTCATGCCCTGTCCCTGCTGGTGGCTTTCTGCGGGGACGGTGGCTCCTTGTGCCAGCCCTGGTGCAGCCCTGCTGCGTGCAGCTCATGGGATGTCTGCTTTAGTGGATGGAGAAAGTTTCTTGATAACATCTGATTACCCTCAGGTGGAAAGAATGAGGAACGTGCTTCTGCCCTGGGTAGTGTTGCCATGTGCTGTTTCTGTCCTACTTGACTGCACATAAACTCTTCCCTGGGAGCCCCAGATGTGCGCTGATGTTGCTGATATATCTGAAAAGTGAGTGTGGGAAAAGTTTCACACAGTGTTCCCTTCCACCTGAACTGGAAATACTGGCCCTGGCTGTGCTGTCAGCTTATTGTGTTCCTCTGTGCAGATGCACTGAGCTCCTTTCCTTGATGACAGAAGGAGCCCTGCTGGTTCAAGTGCTTGTTTGCCATCTGTATCAGCTCTCCCCCGCTATTTTAATGGTATATTTTTGAAATGTGCTAGTGTTGCATTTATTAGAGGGCAAAAAGAGGTTCATGAGGAACTAAAGGAAGTAACTTGGGTTTCATCTGTGATTATAATTCAGTAAATATGTTTGTTTTTTTTCTTTTTTTTTTTTCTAGAGATAAAAGCCACAGTGGTGTACCCTGCCACAGAGAAACACCTTCAGAAGTATCTTCGTCAGGAAGTGCACCTCGTCCGTGAAACCTGGGAGGACTACAGGAACATAACACTGCCCTTCATCCAGTCCCAGAGCTTCAGCATCCAGGTATAGGCACTGCTGCTTCTCAGTGTTGGGGCTCCACGTCCCTCTGCAGGGGTGGAGAGCCTGAAGGAAGAGGTGCTTCAGGCACTGATGTGGTGACCCTGCCTTTGACAAACATGGCGAGTTCTGTTTGCAGTGGTACCGGAGTGGATTTGGATGATGAGAATTGAGAGCAGGATTCTCAACTTGATTCTTTTTTCATAGTAGTCTTCCTTTTGGTATTGCACAGCTGCCAGAGGCTGCACCTCCAGGAGCTGTTCTGGGGCCTCATGCGTTGCCTTCATGGCATGCTGTCTCCCATTCCTTTGGCCAAATGAGAACTGACAGTGTGCCTTGAAGTCAACAGTCTCTGCAAAGCTTGACGTTTGCAGGAGCTCTGGGGACAGAAGCAGAGCTCTGCCTGTCTTTGGCCTCCCTCTTTAACATGCTGGGCTGTCAGATGTCTCCTCGAAGCCTGGACTGCAGACAGATGAATCAGCAGTGCTCTGCCCCTGTCTCCCTGGTGGCTGCTCCATCTGTGTGTTGGCAGCTCTGTGGTCTTTCACCCTCTCTTCTAACATGCCTATTTCTCAGATGTGACCAGCAGCAGATATCTGTGAAGTTTGGGATCTGTGATGCTGACTGTTTCCCTGAGAACACCCACTTAACTGCTGCACTTTCTCGAGGCTGTCTGACCTTTTTGGTAAGCACAGCAGTGCTAAACAAGGCTCTTTCCCCAAGCTCTCCCAGTAGAGCTCTCCTGTTCTTCGGTAGCACTACTACATCATTATAGAAAAGCATTTCCTTTGGAGATTTATCCAGTGTGCCCTTCTCAAGGCTCCTGGAGACTTTCTGTGTTGGGACACTTCTTCCCTCTGAGGGTGGAATTGATGCACTTTGCTGGGCCTTGTGGGAGTCTCTTGGTTGCTTTGAAATGGGAGACCCAGACTGTGCTTGGATTCCTGCATCACAACTCACTCCTAGTGCTTTGCATACAACTACTCTGCATTCCAGTCTTCCAGTTCATATCCCACGTGTAGGAGCTGAATTTTTGGGCTGCCTCTCACCACGGGCAGCAGCAATGCACTCATTTCTTGTTTTCTCTCTTTTTTGACTGCTCCTCTCTACCACATCTTTATAGGCTGAAGGAACAAAAGTCTGTAGGGGCAATTCATGCCAACCTGTGCAGACGAGGGAATAAAATGAATCCTAACAATGCCAAGCTTTCTCCAGTAATTGATTACTACTCTTTCAGTGCATTAAAAGCAACTGATTGCTTATGTATCTAATCTGTACAGCCACTGCCATGAAAAGGAAACCAGCAAGCAAACCCAGTGGCTCTTAAAGCCAGGCAATAGCTCCTGCATCCTCTCCCTGGTCATGCTGCTGCTGCACCTTGCTGATGAGGGAAGTGTGTGCCCTTCCAGCTGACTACAGGTGAGGGTCTGTTGAGGCTATTCATTAAAAATAAACTCCTTTGTCTCAAAAAAAGACACAATCACAGACCTCGTGTGTCCTCTCCTCACATCTTTTCCTTACTGATTTAAACTGCAGCAGACTGGCTATGGGTTTGCTCTTGTGCTCTAATCACTTGCAGCTGATATGAATCTTGCTTTCTGCATCTAGTTCCAGGAGGCACCTTGCAAGCTGCAGTGTGCACTCCATTACTCCTTGCTCACCCACATTTGTTCCCTCCATCATTCAGTTTTCTTGCCAGCAGTTGGACTGCAACACCCCTAATTTATAGGAAGCATTTATTAGCTGGAGAAACAAAAGATAGCAGCACCTGATAGCAGCCTGCCCAAATGTTTTCTCCGTGTCTTTGCTCTGCAGGCTAAGTTCTGTGACACAGCAGCTGCCTTCAGAAGTAGTACAAGGTCTCTCTACCTGTTCCACCGAATGCCTGTGAGCTGATTTCTGCGTGAAGTAGATAGATGGAGACGTGTTCCTGCCAACCATTGGGAGCAGCTGCCTTATCTGTGCTTGGCGATCTTGGTCTGAGCATCGGTCCTCTGAGATTTGATAATGCAGTTTCTTGTCTTTACCTAATTGGTTTTGTCAGAAGGAAGAGGAAATGTGAAGGGCAGAAATATTGGAGGACTACAGAGGAGGCTCTGTTTTCTGCCTGGAGGATGCAAAGTGTGGCTACTTTCTGCATAATAGTTTTATTGTAGTGCCAGCTTGTGGACGTGGTGTCTTCCCCAGGCTTGTGCTGGAAAGAGCAAGAGCAGCCAGCTGATGACTGCTGATCACATGAGGCTCTGCTCATCCTGTATGTGAGCTTATTAGGGTACCCATAGGTTGGCACTACTCAAAAGAGGTGGCGTGAAAAAGTGAGTGGCAAACTTTCATTTCCTTCTGAGCTTCCTGCCCTGCTTTTCTCATAGGGTCACAGAGCACAGCAGTCTTGTGCCATGTGTTCCATGATCTCTGAGGATCTCCGAGATGTTATCGCTAGGGAGAAAAGAGTGGGAACTTAAGAGAGAAAAGGATCAAGGCTGGAGAGGTTTGTTTGTCCCTAAGGAGATATATTCAGGTCAGTTGACAACGATCCTAAGTTTTGATTAGATTAATTAAACTCCTGACAGAGTTCCCAGCAGGGCTGTCTTTCATCTTGAGCATCTGTTGCACACAGCAGCCACTGAGCCAGCTTGCTCAGTGTGTCTGCAGGGCCAGCAGTGGCTTGGTGCTTCCACAGCCACTGGGACAGCAGCAGTGTTTTGTACCTAAGCTTGATGGGAAGGTGAGCGTGGTGGTGATGAGCGTTGTGTGGAGTTCAGTTGTTTGCTGTATCCGTAAAGCTGAAACCACTGTGGCACTTCTGCAGCCTGGTTGTCTCAGGAAGACTTTCTTCAGTGGAAGGGTGTTTCAAAATGATTGCAGCTTCCAAAGCCCAGCCAATTTCTGCTGCCTTGCTTTTTTTTTTAGAGACCAATGCTGGAAGTCTGAAACTCCAAGAACTGCTAGCATTTAGAAGCCAAGTTGCAGCTCTCTCTGTGAAAGAGAACCTTTCTGTTTGGCAGGAGGGCAGGTGGGCAGCTTGTAAGCAGCACCAGCAGTCTTCTAGGTGTGAAGGTGCTTTCTCTGTCCTGTCTCATCTTTCGGTTATCCCTGTTTGACAGTGGAGACTTGTCTCTGGATGGTGCTTTGCTCCTCAGGAGGTTTCCCTCTGCAGAGTCTGAGGTCCCACGTCCTCCTGTTCTCCCTCCCAGCAGCCCAACCAGGAATGCAGGGGATGACCAGAGCAAGGATTACTGGCTATCTGGAGGCCGAAGCTTTAAATATAGAGGAAGAAGAGCGGTGAGCTCTTTTCTAACCAGTCAGGAAACATGATTTGCCCAAGAAAACACAGGCCTCTCATCCTCGCCCGCAGAGCGCTGGCTGCCAGCAGCAGGAGCCCTGTCCAACCTCAGCCTTGCAGCAGTCTGCTGCTTCCTTTCTGAATGGAAAAATCAGCCGGGTTTCCTTTCCAGAGCTCATTGTAGAGGTTTCGGGACGGTGTGGGGTGTGAAAGGTGTATGGAGGCACCGCCAGGCCCTGGGGGAGCTGCGCTCAGCCTCTGCCGGCCCCAGGGGTCTGGCTGCTGCCTGGGAGCATCGTGAGCTCTGTGGGCGTGATGGAGAATTGCAAGACCCTGTTGGGCAGAATTATCTCCAAATCCTCTTACAAGCAAATACAACGGTTTCTAAACCATCTCTCTCCCGTACCTCATCTCCAGCTGTGGCCGATTCTTAATGCTCGAGAGGAAAACAGAAATCCCTGAATAATTTAGCGAGGCAGTGGTGCCGTGCCATGCAGCGGGGTCAGAGGGTATCCTTTAACTGAAGTGCCTGTAATAGCCTGGAGTTTGTTGGAGTGTTTTATGGAAAATTAACTACAAATGTTGTTGGCCATGAAATTATTTGGTCGTCATTTTTTTTTTTTTTCTTCTTCACATTCTGCTTGCAGTGAATACAGACTAATCCATGAGCCTGGGCTAAATGTGCCTGAGCTTTTTGCTCTGCTGGTTTCTAAATCACATGTTTCTCTTTCAGTGGGTGTATAATATCCTGGAGAAGAAAGCTGAGGCTGATCGAATCATCCATGAAAACCCAGACCCTTGCAATGGCTTTGTTCTAGTTCCAGATTTTAAGTGGAATCAAAACCAGGTTTGTTGCTACTCTTGTTTTTGAAGGGATGCTGCTTTGAGAGGCAATACAGAGGAAATGTCCACTTTTGTATCACTAATGGCATGTTAATGAAACTTTTAGTGGGGAAATGCATCCTTCCTGTTCACACTGTAATTAAGCAATGATGTTACAGTGACTCAGGGTCTTTTAGGAAGTGCTAATGGTGGACACTTCAAAACGCAGGCTGTCCTCATTGCTGCTCAGTGATTTGTTTATTAGCTTCACTTTCTCTTTCCTGTATTAGCCTGAGTGCTGTCTTGATGTGTTGGAACTGAAATCCAGCTGCCTGTTTGTTCCTGATGGATTCCTTTGTTTGGGTTTTTGTCAGCCTAAATATTAGGCATAAATCAGGCAGATGTGTCGTCCTTCCAATTAACTCTCCTCAAACAATATTAAACAGATGGTTGTTAGCTTATGAGCAGCTGCTTAACCCCTCGCTGGAGTGGCCACTTGTTGAGATTCAGAGGTTTTAGCCCAGGCTGTAATCGTAAATTGAGTGGCTCGTTATTTCTTTTGACTCTGGCTGGATTCATGTGGCACTTCTATTGCCTGGAGACATCAAGGCCTGCGGCGTGCCTGCAGAGATGAAATGCCCCAAGCTCAAAGAAGCAAGGCTCCAAGCCTCGGTGGAGTCAAAAAGTCCCCTTCGTGTTTCTGATCCTCAGAACCTCTCTGTGGGTGGCACTGAGGGAAAGTTTGATGAAAACGTAGAAATCAGAACTAAAAATAATCCTTCTGGTAAGCTTTTAGCACAGCACGAGTCTGTATTTCTGTGCTGAGCGTGGGCTGGGGGCAGCGGGGAGGCAGGAGAGCTGATGTCTGTCTGGTGCTGAATTGGGGTTATGGTGGGTGAGCACAGGTGAGTTACTGCAGGGCAGTCCGTAAAGACCTGCATTCCCCTCACTGTCAGCTGTTCTAAAAATCCCATGCCTTGTTGCTGTGGGGTAACTGAGCTTTAATTTCCGTTGTCTAGCACCCTGCAATGTGGCAGCAATTCTCAGCAATTCTCAGCGATCCTGGGAAGTTAATTCTCAGCAATGTGCTCTTTCCTCGCTCTGAGCAAAGCCCCAGTGTAAATTCTTTCTCTCCAGAACCAAACTGTGCAGCTCACTGCAGTGTTGAAGACAGATGGGCTTGAAGTTGTAGCCAGATTTCTCTAGAGACCTGCTGTGTGCAGTGCAGTTAGGGAGCACCTGCATGGCAGGATTTGTCCGTACGGAGGTTTCCCATGCTGTGCGGTTTGCTTGTGATCTGAACAGGATCTTCTTGATTTTTTTCCCATGGCTCACTTGCTGGGTGCTCTCACTGCAGCAGCACAGCCACGTCCCCAGGGCAGGGGCTGCTCTCAAGCCCTGCAGGCTCTGTGGGAGTGCTGAGCTGGGGGCTTCAGCGTGTTCTGTGCAGGTACTGCCTCCCCACTGATAGGAGCTGCTGATAGCTGGGTGCTCTCTGAGTTTTAAAAAGCAGAGATCTGGACTTCTGGCTTATTTTCCTGATTCCTTATCCTGAGAGAAGGGCTTGGACGTGATTTTTCTGCACTTCTGGCTGCTGGGATCCATGCCCCCTTGTGCTGCCTGTCTCTTCCCAGCAATGGGTGTTGACTGCTGTTGTGTTGAGCAGGGTATGTTCATGGCTCCTCGCTGAGGCCGTCATCAGGAAGGTTAGAGCTGGTTTTCCTGCCTTGCGGGCAGCTGGATGTGCACTCAGTAGTGTCTTGTAAGTGAGACATTGCCATAAATGAATGGTATTCAGAGAGAAACCAAACAGGTTTGAATCCAACGTGTCTCAAGACCTAATGTATTAGATGAAACATGGGATCTGTCAGATCAGATCTCATCCCTGCAGCTGCACCTCAGAGCCGTCGGCCATTCACATTTTGACTCATCCAAGCAGCCATGGGCTGCTGAATTCAATTAGGTGGTGAGATTGGGCTCCCAGCAGCGCTCTGCGAACCTCCCTGCAGCTCAGGTTTGGAGTTCTGTCCAACAGCATCGCGCTGTGCTAGCTTAGCAGTTTGCTAAATGTGGATTCACCTGTTGTTGCTTCGGGCTGATGGATGGAGGAGGATTCCCTGCCTGTGTGCTGCTGCTCGGTGCCTCTGCCTGCTGCTGGGCGGCTGGCCAGGAGCAGCCGTGCTTTGTGTTGGGAGGTGGGTACCTGGAAATGCTGCAGCAGCAGCGTGGCAGCTCAGCTGTGCAGAGCAAGCAAGTCCTGGTTAGACGTGGTGCTGAACAGCCCCTTTTAGATCCCTCCAGCTTTTCTCTTCTCAAACCCACAGGAGCCCCGAGGCGTTGCCTGAAATGGTGCCGTACATGACATCATTGAGGGCCTTTTTAGCAACAGGCTTATTTGTTTCAAACAGCAACATACAGATGTTCTAAGGAGAGGGGATGTTTGCTTTTCCCCTGTGAGCCAGCTCTGGTTTGAAGAGGACAGACTGAGAGGCCATCTTCTTCTGGAGCTGTGCTGCTGTGAGAGCCGGGTCACACCATGAGAATGGCTTTGTTGGCTGGATGCAAATAAAGCTTTGTATTTCGAGTCCCAAGGCAGAGTTCTTCAAGCATCTTTTGGCACAAACATCTGTTTTCAAATAGCCAGATGGATCGCTTATAACTCTGAAAAGATCTGCTGGGCTGTAGATATCCAAACCCTTTGCTACACAGTGTTTATATTGTTAAAAAGCCACTAACTAAGCTGAAGGAGACAGGGATTAAGTGCTGCAGAAAGGGGCTGGTGTTTGCAGGACATTTGGTTTTGGAAATGCAGGCAGTTGAGGAAATAGCCTCAAGCAGCTGCTTGCCAAAACACAGTGCAGAGAGCACAGGTAGGTTTGGGTGTGAGTGACTGTCAGCTGCAGGTATTGCTGAAGAACATCACTGTTAGTCGTGGTGTGGGAGCCTGCCTTGTCCTGGCTGCCTCTGTGTTCAGTCTGATCCCTGTACAGGGGGCTTCATCTCTGTGTTTATCATCTCCCGGGCAGCAGTGTCACAAAACCATTTGACTGATTTATTTTTTTTAAACACATAACGATCCACGACCTTTTGTTTCCGTGAACATTTAATTCAGTGAAGTGCTTCCGGAGATGGCACAGGTCGGTCTGAGCGCTGCGGGGCGGCCGCATGTCACTGTAGGCTGCCAGGTGACAGATGAACACTTGAAAATAGTTATTTATAAAACTGGAGTCACTGGAAAACGGATCACTGTTTGTACAGAGGCAATACAGGAAGCTTTTCTTTTGGAAAAATCTACAGTTGCAGCTTTGGCTGCTGGAATTCACTGCAAATCCTCTCCTGAGCGCAGATATAAGCCATTCTTTTGCTCTGCAGAAAGGCTGAGCTCAGCACTGCCGTTCAATTCCCTGCTGCCCAGGCAAGTGCTGCACCTCTGCTGCCCTATGAGGAAGGTTTAGTTTGCTCTGTACTTGGACAAGTGCTTCTGAAGTATTTGAGGAGACGTTACTGGGGTTTGGAACTAGGATTCCACCTAGGCTGGAGGTTGGTGAAAGAAGTCAGCAGATAAGCGTGTGTGCACATTACAACACAGCCCAGAAAGCTCTGGACAGTGCTTGAGCCTCCACCTGCTTTCTGCTGTGAGCATCGTCCTCCTCCTCCTCTGTTTCTGCCTCTCCACAGCTCGAAGACCTCTACCTGATAGCCCTCATTCACCGCCGCGATGTGAAGTCTCTCCGGGACCTCACAGCAGAGCACCTCCCTTTGCTGAGGAACGTCCTGCAGGAAGGCAAGGTGAGTGCAGGAAGGCACGGCGAGCTGCTGCAACTCCCTGCCTCGGCTCCTGGCACCTGCTGTGGCTGCCTGGTTTGGCAAAGAGCCGCTCTCTGTGTGGACACCAACAGCTGAGTGATGATCATATCTCCCTCCCGAGCTCCTCCCCATCGTTCCCCTGCAATACAAACCCTATTTCAACCAGGGGCATTTCTTCATAGGTGGAGTTGACTTTCCTCCTTGCATTGCACCCTATGGTATGAGCTGCCTGGGGAGGATGTTGCCTTGTTCTTGCAGCGCTGCTGTGCTGTGTTGCATGACTCTGCAATGTGGGGATGCATCACACTGCAGCACCAGGCCTTGGGAAGAGCTGAGATGGGGAAATGGAGCAGGGTGATGAAAAGAGGGCACTTTAAATCCTCTTTGTGCTTCAACTTGTATGCTCTTGAGGCCAGATACGTTGCGAGTGTCCTGAACTGCTCCAGGCACTGAGCAGGGCTTGGTGCCTAGTAAAGCAGCAAGTCTCCACAGGGCCATGGGAAGCATTTTCTGATTTCCTCTCCTCCTCAGTTTAGACCCTCTCATGGGAGCTGGTGGGGGGAGGTGTGAACGCCTCCCCTGCCTGTTTCCCTTCCTGAGACTGCAGCAGAGCTTGCCCAGTAGGCGATGTGCTCTGTGCTTGCCTTACAAGGGTTTGTCTGCTGGGAAACCCCTCCCAGTGCTGCCCTGTGTAGCCTGGCCACACTGCATCAATTCTGGAGGCCTTGGTGGCTTTTCTTTCCTCCTGCAGCCACCAGGCATCCATTTGCACATCACCATGGTGGTGCTGAGCACTCATACTGGGGCTGAAGCTCTCCTCCACGGCTTGAGAACAGAAATATATTTCTGCTGCTGTCTTTGGCCTCATGCCATCTCGTGTCACTGCAGTGCGTTCTAGGAGAAGGGAGCATCTTTTTGGAATGGGCTGGAGAGGTGTGGATGTGTCTGGGAGTCCACCCATCCCTCTGGAGCAAAGCGTTGCTCTTCCTTAAGAAGAAAACACCCTCCTCCTCTTGGCAGCCAGGCTGGGAATGAAATCTGAGCGCTGCCTGCCTTGGAACTGCGACTTTTTACTGCAGCCAGCAAGCTCCTCACCTCTCTCCCCTTTCAGAAGTGTCTGGTACAGTTTTGTCTGCAGTGAGCTCAGAGTCGAGCTCATCGTCCTGTGTGTGCTAACAGCTGCCTTTGTAACCTCCCGACCATTTTCTCTGGCTGGTGGCTGTTCCAGGGCACACTTGGTAATGGGCCGTATAGATCAATGTGTGATAGTTCCCTTCACTGCATTAGAAATTTGGAAAGTAATTGCACTAGGGAAAGCAGAGATTAATTAAGAGATTAGTCAGGGGATTGCAGTGTGCTGAGCAGCAAACTGAGCCAGTGTGTTGGAGTTCGCCGTTGCTGTTTATAGCTTTAATTACACTGGCTGGTAACGGGATCCTGTAACTTGCTGAGTGAGCTGGGGAGATAAGGGAGGAATGGAAAACAGTGGGAGCAGGGAGCACGTCCTGTTATGGAGAAGTGGGGCTGGCAGGAAGGGCATCCGCACTTCTATGTTTCCCCATCCGTTACTGTAAGGAGAGATGAGGCAGCAGTCGTTTCACTTCGCCTCTCCCTTCCTAAGGGGCTCAGCGCTGCTCTGGCTGTCGGGCAGTGGTGTGAGCAGAGCTCTCCTCTTGCCAGGTGTTTATTTAACAGCTTCCCTCCACGTTTTCGCTGCCTGAACCTTCTCCTGTGGTTTAAGTCCTGCAGGCACATTCCTGATGGCCGCAAGGTTTGGCCGCGGGCTCCACCTTTCTCCCCACACCTGGGGGCTCTTTTTCCCTCCCCCCGGTCTTCCCACCCACTTCCAAGCCCTCACTGACCTGTCTGTGTCTGTAGGAAGCCATAGCAAAACGCTTTGGTGTGCCCGGATCGCAGCTCCGCATCTACCTGCACTACCAGCCCTCCTACTACCACCTGCACGTGCATTTCACTGCCCTGGGCTACGATGCGCCGGGCAGCTCTGCTGAGAGAGCCCATCTGCTGGAGGACGTCATTGACAACCTGCTGCTGGATGCTGAGTACTACCAGAAGCGGGCGCTGACCTTCGCCCTGCGGGCTGATGAACCCCTGCTGAAGAAATTCCGGGAGGCAGGAAGAGTGTGAGCTGGCAGAGCCAGACGTGGAGCTGCTTTTTTATCTTTTTATCCCGATAAATCTGTGGGTTTTGGTGATGGGGGTTTTTTTGGGTTTTTTTTTTTTAGAGTTTTGTCGCTTTTTGTTTTTTTTATACTCGGGTTTTGTACGAAATTGGGGCTGTCAGCCCATTGCTATGGAAACTGCTCCTTCTGCTTAAGTCAATTAAAACCTTGATGGGGTAACCTTGGTGGTGTGTTGGTTTTTTTAAGCAGACAGAGCAGCAGCCTGGGCTCCTCTGAGGGACTGCGACAGGAGGACCTGTGCCCATCCACCTTCACCCAGTTATCCGTGCCATGGTGTTCTCCAGAGCCCTGGAAGTGGTGGCATGAGAACGAGGTCTGCCCACACGGCCCTCTGCTTCCTCACCAAGGGACAAAACCTCTGAAAACTGCATGAGTTCTCACTGCCAGCGAGGGCTCTGGTTTCTGGTCAGTCGGTAACCAGGGGTGTAATTGCAGGCATCAAATTGCTGCCCATCCTGCTGTGTGCTCCTTTCAGCACGCTGGGGTAGGAGCTTTCCCTTGGCTTTCCTTTTCGTTTTTCTTTTTGCTGACTCCTTTGCTCTGGGGGCAAAAAAAATAACTGCAGTTCTTTGTTTCCAGGGCTGCTCTGTAACGGAGCGGTCCCGAGCCTGCTGGATGCAAGTCACATCACAAGAGATGCCCGGGGCTTTGTTCTCATCTGATTAATAAAAATTCAGGTCAGGCCGTTCCCTGGTACCTTTTAGCAGCAGGGAGAGGCAGAGCATCTGAATGCAGCCAACTCTTGTCAGATTTGCTTATTTTTTGCAAAAATGCAGTGTGTGGCTGAGGAGGGCAGGGGTAACCTGTTAGGGGAGTTTTTCTTTCTTGTTGCACGTTTCCCACAGGCCGTGCAGAGCGGAGCACAGCTCTGCTTGCATCAGAGCTGACTTAGGAGCTGTGGGGCAGATCTGGGGGTGTTGCTGTGGCTGCCCCCGACTTTGCATCCCTGCACCTAAACCCCTTCTCTGCTAGGATTCCCCCTGGACCCGATAGCTCTGAGCTGGGCGATGCAGACCCCATTGCAGTTTCTCTTTTCCGACAAGACTTTATTTTATTTTTTGCCTTTTTTCTTTCAATTGCTCTGCACAGATTAATCTAACTGGCGATTTATCCCTTCTGTGCTTTGTGCATTAAATATCGGGGCAGGGTGCAGTCATTAGCAATGACTAACGACCCGGCAAACACTTGTGGTGTTCTGCTAACACAGCAAATCCCTTTCCAAAAACGTTTTCTAGCAGGGGAGAGGCGCTGTGCAGCGCTGCTGATGGCCTTTGTCCCTTTTGTCCCTTCCATCCCCTCTCTGGTGCATCCTTTGGCCGCACTGATGGCAGTGGATGAGGGCACCTCTTCATATTCTCTGACACACTGCAGTGACCCGGCTTCTTTGGGAGCCGTAACTGTCGCCATCACACCGCTGTGCCAGCTTTAGCAGCCACCGTAACTGCATCGTGCTGTCATTGTGGCCGCGTGCCGGCACAGAGCCGAGGGCCGGCAGGCTCCGAGCCGTCCTGGGGAGCTGGGGAGCGCAGCCATGCGGCCGCGACGCTCCTGTAGCGTTCTGCCTTGGGAGCGTGGTAAAAACAGACATTTGGGATGCGTTATTACTGCTGGAGTTTTATTGAACGCCGTTTATTGTTTTCAGATGCAATAAACCTAGCGGGGGAACCCAAGAGACTGATGGATCTAAATATCCTTCGAGCAAGCCCAGCTCCCCCGCTGAGCCGCGGCCTCAGTAATTACCCCCGGATCAGCTGCGAGCCGACAGTAATTAAGGCGCAATTACGGACAGCTGCTCTGCCTCCATCGGCCCGCGTGAGCGCGCGTGGGGTCTCGGTGCGGATGGATCCCCGGCGGCGGAACGCGGCCACGAGTCCGCTCGGAGCTCCCGGCAGCGCGGACCGGCAGGGGCTGCTCCCCCCCTCCCGGGGCCTCCGCGCCCCCCGCGCTGCTCTCGGGGTGGGGGGCCGCCCCGAAGGCGCCGCCCGATCCTCCCGCCGTCACCGCCGCCCTTGGGGAGCTACGGGACCCCCCCCATCATCGCACGGTGGGTCCAGGCCGCATCCCCGCCCCCGGCGGCCCCCCTCCGTGCCCCCGCCTCTTCGCTCCCTCCGCCCCATCGCTGTGTGCGCAGGCGTGCCCGCCCCGCCGCCGCCCCCCTCGCCCCGCTCAGCCCCGCTGCCCGGCCCTGCCCGCTCCGAGCCCGCACCCCCGGCCGCCCCATGGTGAGTGCGTGGGGGGGGAGCGGGGGTCCGCACTCGTGTGAACGCAGAGCGCTGCGAAATGCTGAGCTTTGTCCCGTTGCTTTTGGAGCCGGGGGGGTTTGGGATGCGGTGCCGGAGGCCGCGATGCGGGGCGGTGCGGGGCAGAGCCGGAGCGTCGATGCGGTGCTTTTGCTTTCTGTGTATCTCTGTGTTGTGAATGGGAGCGCGGCCGGGCGCGACGGAACGCAAACTGTGTGCGCAGCGCTGAGCATCGCCGTGCGCGGGGAGCGGCCCCGCAAAGCAAAGCGCACGTCGGGCTGCGCTGTGTCTGCCGGGCGCTGCCGTGAGGATCCCCGGCACGGAGCGCATCGACACGCGGCTGGGAGGGACGGCGGCACTGCGGGGCCGGGCAGCGCTGCGCCGTTCTGGTTTCGTAGGGCGCGGCTTCGGGGTCCCAACGCCGGGCGCAGCTCCCGGTGCATCCGTGCGAATGGAGCCCAGAGCTGCCGCCCCGCTGGCTGTCAGTTGCGGCCGCGCAGCACAGCGGGGGTTGTCTGGGGACGGGGCCTTTTGCTCGGCATCCTCTGCGTGCGGAGCTCAACGCAGCGCCCTGGGGGAGCGGTGGGAATGGGGCCCTCCCCGCTGCGCGGGACCTGCAGCCCTTCCCGCTGGGACGCGAGGATGCTCGGTCCAAAGGAGAACATCGGCGGGCTTTCTGCTCGCTGAGCAGCGGTGTTTGGAGGGGTCTCATTGTTCTTAGCGGAGAACAAAGGGATTCTTCCCCTGGGGGGTTGTTTTGTTGCTGTATGGGTGCAGTGTTCGGTGGCCGAGGTCCGTGGGCAGTGAGATGAGGTGCATGCAGAGCACCGGGCGTTTGGAGAACCGTGCTGGATTTGTGCTGCAGCTCAGAGCCACGGGACGGGGAGAGGTCCCAGCCCTGCTCGGCTCTTGGCAGCTCCAACGCTTTGAGGGCACGTCCGAGCTGCAGTGAGCTCCTGACGTTGCTACCAGCCATAGGATGGGAGCTGCTGGGCTCTTCCTAACGCCTGGACTTAATTATCTGCATCATTAAAGGCTGCTACTCCTCTAGCTCCAGGTGAAGGGTTAATAGCAGCACTCTGAGTCCCACAGGGATTCGGGTGATGAGGGATGGCAGTAGGAAGGAGGAAGGCTGCCAGGCTGGGGGTGTCCGTCTGTGCCAGCAATACTCACAGGTGTGTGGGGCAGGGATGGGATGGTGACCACAGCATCCATCTGTCGAATGGAAGTGCAGATTTAAGCCCTTTCCTAGCGATGGGATGACCACGGTGCCTTCTTTGGGTTTTGCCTTTGTGCCTTCTCCATCCATCACATGGAAGCACGCCTCTGCGATGACTTCAATGCCTTCGTTGGGTTTCCCATTGTGCCCTCCCTGTGCTCAGTGCTGGTGGCTCCTGGCCGTCCCCGTGGCACTGGGATGTGTCCCTGCACGTTGTTGTGGGAGCGGATCCATGCAGCCCTGGCTGTGTGACAACAGGAGGAAATGGTATTACTGGTTGCTTCACTCCCTGTTCTGCTCGGGTGCCCCTGGGCAAGCTGTGTTCCTGGGGCTTTTTCTAGGAAACCTACATTTTCTGGGAGAGGGGAAAAAAGACAAAAATAAAGGGCCGGATCCTGCTCATCCCTGCTGTTTCCAGCTGCCAACCCACGCGTGTGCTGTGGGTGGGATTGGAGGTTTGCTCCGAGGAAGTGAAGGGGAACTGGATGTGCGCGTGTGCTCCATGCAGAGCGCGCCCCAGGGCTGCGCCCAGGTGGGACGGGCAGCTCTGCATCCCGCTGCTCTGTTCCGTTTGCTCCCTGCTGGTTCCCTGGAGGAGCCCCGGACTTGAGCTCACGCCGTTGGAATTCCCTGCCGCGCTGCTGGGAGAGGCTCTCACTGCGATCACTTCCAGATGCTGCTCCCACTCCTCCGGCTGCTCTTCCTGCAAAACGTCTCCGGTACCCCGGGCTGTGGGACCAAACCTGCTCTGGGGAGCTCTTCATTTCCCCATCCTGCTGCTGAAGTGCATTTGGGGGTTTTGCTGGTGGAAAACGCCGCTCTTGGTCTTCTCCAAACCAAGGGTTTTCCAGAGGTGGTTAAGCTGCTAATCAAACAATCCTTAATTGTGGCCATTGTAAAGAGCTTATCCCCCTGGCTGCTGTTCAGCTCGCTGTTGCTTTGCGTTGTGCCCCTTCCTGGGTCTCCCTGCCCATTTCCTTTGGGTTGGGTGCTCAGCAGTGGTTGTAGGGTGTGGGATGCTGGGGACCCACAGCACCCGGTTCCTGCATGCGTGCCCTGTTTAGGCCTGCAGAGGTGGGTGATTATTTACCTTGCATTGGGTGTCCTCATACCTTTGCTGGGTGCCACAGCCCTTCGTGCTTGTGGGATTAGGAGTGCTCCCTCCCTGAAGAAGCAGAAAGGTTCATTTGATGACAGCAGCATTTGGTGCTGATGCCACGTGTGGCTCAGAGCTGATCTGGGGCTGATGTGGGGCAGTGCAGGCCGTTGGGTGATGCTGCACTGTTACAGCTCTGCACCCTACCGCAGCAATTTCCTGCTCCTCTTCCTGGCGATGACTTTTTGGATCCTGTGGCCAGGAAGTGGCCCCGCTGCTCTCCTGCTGAGTGGGCACTGAGTGCAGATCTGTGTGTATCCCTGTTCCATGGCTGCGCTCCCTCCTTTTGGGGGATAGCAACCAGGATGATGTGATGGCTGTGGTGCCGGGGGGATCTGCACGGGGATGGACTCCTCCGGATCTCTCTCTGTGCTCACTGCGCAGCGTGGGTGGACGGATGGATGTGGTGGGGTGGTCGATGTGAGGAGGGAGGGGGCTGTACCCAAACCAAGGGATGCTGGGGGGCTGACACTGCACGTGTCCCTTTTGGCTCTATTGTGGTTATGACTGTGATCATTATTTTGTTTTTTTTTCTACTGAAGAAAGCGACTCGATTCGCCATGAGGAGGGAGAGTGCCTTCCAGGAGCAGCCCGCCCTGATCGAGCCGGGGAGGAATGAGCGGTCAATGAATTAAAGATGGGTGGAAAATGAGCAAAGGGAAACGCAGCCATCAGCGGGACGGGTAGGGAACCCCAGCCCACAGTGCAGCGTGGGGATGGCAGCCTGCCCAGGGCAGAAGGGTTTGGGTTATCGGTGGAATCGCTGAGGGGTGTGGGCGAGATTGCTGGGTTTGATCCTTAAGGCTGTGCTGTGCTGCGCTCGGGAGGTTTGGGGTAATTTGGGTGGTGGGGGCAGGCAGGTTCCTGCACAGTGGGTTTGTAGATGTTGTGAAACTTGGAGGCGTAGGGAAGAGCAGATGATGTGCTGAAAGTGCAGAT